TTTTTCAGATACCATGTTGCTCAGGCTGGTCTCAAACTCCTGGGCTCAAGTGATCCTCCTGCTTCTGCCTCCCAAAGTACTAAGATTACAGATATACGCCACTGTGCCCACCCCAGCATATTTCAACGTAAATCTCAGACATCCTAGGAATTCACCTGTGAATATTCCAGCATAAATGCCTAATTGTAAATATGGCTAGAAATGGAACTCTGCTTATATTTCTGTCAGAGATGAACATACACATTCTGTCTATTTCAGAATTTCTCCATGTCAGCACTATTGGCACTTTGGGCTGGATAATTCTTCACAGTGGGAGCTATCCTGGGCCTTGCAGGGTGTTGATCAGTATTCCTGGCCCCTACTCACTAAACGTCAGTAGCTTCTCCTCAGTTGTGACAACAAAAAATGTCTCCAGACATTTCCAAATGTCCCCTGGAAGTCGAGAACCACTGGTCTATTGAATATCTTATGAAGCAAAAAACTATTATTGATTATTTATAGAAGGGTGTTTTCTCTCACCCTTTTCTCTTCTACCTGAAAAAAAGGATATTGAAATCAGCTTTGCAAATAAGCAGTGATCAATTGACAAACTCACTTCCTCAGAAGACTACAGAGAAAAATGCAAACGAATGAATGGAAAGCAGGTTGGGACATGGTGGCTCACACCTGTAATCCCACACTTTGGGAGGCTGAGGCAGGAGGATCACTTGAGCTAAGGAGTTACAGACCAGCCTGGGCAATATGGCAAAACCCTGCCTCTACAAAAAACATGTAGAATTAGCTGGACGTGGTGGCATGTATTAGCAGACCCAGCTACTTGGGAGGCTCAGGTGGGAGATTCTTGTGCCCAGGAGTTCAAGGCTGCAGTGAGCTGCACTCCAGCCTGGGTAGCAGAGTGAGACACTTTCTCAAAAACTAAAAAGAAAGAAAAGAAGTAAATGATAAGAGATTGTGGCTGGGTGTGGTGGCTCACGCCTGTAACCCCAGTACTTTGGGAGGCCAAGGTGAGCGGATCATTTGAGGTCAGCAGTTTGAGACCAGCCTGACCAACGTGGTAAAACAATGTCTCTACTAAACACAAAAATTAGCCTGGTGTGATGGCATGCGCCTGTAATCTCAGCTACTCGGGAGGCTGAGGCAGGAGAATCACTTGAACTCAGGAGGCGGGAGTTGAAGTGAGCCGAGATTGTGCCACTGTGCCCCATCCTATGTGAGAGAGTGACTCCCTCTCAATAAAAAAAAAAAAAAAAAGAAAGAGTTATGGGGCAGGGATAGCTTAATACTCACCACATGAGTAAATCCTAAATTCTATAAAACCTGGAATTTAGGGATTCCAAATGTTACCTAGCACTTTGTTTTTCTTTCTCTTTCTTTTACTTCCTTTTTTCCTAAGCACATCTTTTCCATTCTGGCAGAGCCAGGCGCTTGTGCCTCCAGTTTCTCTACGGCAGCATCTGGAAAAATGAGCTGCTTCTCCAGACCAGGGTTTCAGAGATGTTAAGAGTAAATTTCCTCCAGAACCCAAAGGGTTACAGCATTTCCGGTGCTGCAGGGAACAGAGGGTGGGGTGGGAGAGTGGGGCTTCACCTAATTGGGAATCAATTCTGCAAGAAGTCAAGTCCCCTATTTAATCAGAGTGAGCCTCCTAATCTTGGAACTCACTGTTTTCAGTTGCCTGGAAACACACCCTTTTTCTTGCGAATGTCTAAATGGACTGGCTCCGTCAGATTTATAACTCACTTCTGAACTGGGGAAGGCTTATCACCAAGTCCCTCCATTAGGTATCTACAGTTCTCTGGTTCTGGTGACTTAAAATAAATACTGTGTGTTGTGAAGGCAAAGATCAGAGAGAGGAAGACTGGGGAGTTCTCTGCTTCTGGGAAAAAGATCCTCTGGAAGGGTTTTAGGGCTGGGTTCCGGTTGATTAATGGCATATTTGTTTCTTAAATATTAGACTCTATTTACCCATGTCAAAGCGTCAAGAATACCTGCAGAGTTCCGGGATGAAAGTGCTGGCCAGTTTCCCCGTGCAAGCCACCATTCACTTCTACAACGATGAGGCCACTGAGTCCGCTTCGGAAGCTGAGGAGTCGGAGGAAGGACCCCCGCCCCTCCATCTTCCGCCCCAGGAGGCGGGAGGTCTGCAGGAAAAAGGCCCAGGGAGAAAGGACAGGGACCAGGGCATCAACTGAGGGCCGCGATCCTCAGGAGGGGGTGACCCCTGGGAGGAGGGCCGCTCCCCACGGCGACTCCTCAAGGGGCGGCCAGTGCTTCTCATCCAGATGAATCTGCCCGTGTCTCCTGGGCCCTGCTGGGGGACCTGTCTCCCCACATTCTCCTGGGGACACCCGAGCCAGGACACTGCGCATCCCTGCTGAGTGTACAGAGGCTGGGGGCTTCTCGGACGGCCCCTGGCCCCGCACACCACTCACCGCAGGAAGTCAGCTTTTACTTTTCTTTCTCCTGGCGATTCGTTTTTGGTGCACTCACGCATACTTTTGAGAAAGGATTCTGGACAAAGAGAAGGTCTGTGTCCACAAGAGTTGTTATCTCGTAGGGCCAACTTTCCAAGCTCCTTCGGCATTGTCACTGGCTGACCAGGTGACAATTCTTCTGAGTCACCCCCTCCACCTCCTACTTAGCCTGAGACTCGTTATTTAGCTATTTCTGCTTTGTAAACATGATTTCGATATTAAACCCCAATTTTAATCTATCATCTAAGGGCAGATGCGGTTGCTTAGTACCGTTTTTTAAAAAATGGTTTGGTTTGGTTTTGTGACAAAGTTTTGCTCTTGTCACCCAGGCTGGAGTGCAGACGCGAAGTCTCGGCTCACTGCAACTTCCGCGTCTCGGGTTCAAGCGACTCTCCTGTGCCAGCCTCCCAAATAGCTGTGATTACCGCATGCACCACCACGCCTGGCTAACTTTTTGTATTTTTAGTAGAAATTCGGTTTCACCATGTTGGTCAGGTTGGTTTTGAACTCCTGACCTCCGGTGATCCACCCGCCTGAGCCTCCCAACGTGCTGGGATTACAGGCATGAGCCACCAAGCCTGGCCAAAAAGAAAAATGCATTTATTAAAAACTTTTTCTTAACCCACTCAATAATTCCCACAAGAGCAACAAAAATATAAGGATTTTTAGGAGGCAATTAGATAAAAAAGTGTGTGATGCCTGTGTAAGGACTGTGTGTGTGAATTTATGCTGAGTAGGACCTTCGCTCTTCTTAGTTGGTCACTGTTTGGGGCATGTTATTTTAATAGATTGACACTATTTTTAATTAAAATATGTAAAATTATTTTGGTTTTTAATATTTTGATGATCAAATGTGTACTCCTGAAAGTTTTTTACTCGCTTAGCTTACATGTGGTGTCTTCCCATATATAGTACATTATATCAGTTCCTACTTGAAATAAATATTTTGAAAGCATGTTTGATAATCACTTTTTTTGAAGAGTTAGTTTCTGCTTTAAAGTTTTTTTGTTTTTCATGGTTTTAAAAAATAATTCTTTTAAAATTATAAGCTATTTCTATTTTATTTTAGTATTCTATTTTATTTTGTAAAATTTTAGACACAGGGTCTTGCTCTGTCCCTGGCTGGAGTTCTCAGTAATACCTCACTGCAGCCTTGAACTCCTGGGCTCGAGGAATCCTCCCACCTCAGCCTTAGTAGTAGCTAGGACTACAGGTGTGTGCCACCATGCCCAGCGATTTTTTTTTTTTTTTTTAAGACAGAGTTTTGCTCTTGTTGCCCAGGCTGGAGTGCAATCGCACAATCTCAGCTCACTGCAACCTCTGCTCACAGCTTCAAGCGATTCTCCTGCCTTGGCCTCTCGAGTAGCTGGGATTACAGGCACCTGCCATCACTCCTGGCTAATTTTGTATTTTTAGTAGAGATGGATGGGGTTGAACTCCTGACCTTAGGTCATCTGTCCGCCTATGCCTGCTGGGATTACAGGCATGAGCCACCATGCCTAGCCGCCCAGTGAATTAAAAAAATTTTTTTATAGAGACAGGTTCTTGATACATTGCTAAAGATACTCTTAAACTCCAGGCCTCAAGTGATCCTCTTACCTAGGCCTCCAAGGCACTGGAATTATAGGAATGAGCCACCATACTAGGCCCAGTATTTTAAAAAGTAGGAGTAATGAATGGAAGTACTTTTAGCAATCCAAATGCTATAGAAAGGTATACATTGCAAAGTAAAAGTCACATTCTCTTCTCCCTCTCCTTTGTCTAAAGGTAACAAATATCAATTGTTTTTTTATTGCTTTAGTCTTTTAAAAAAATTCCCTTTTTTGTGTTTTTCTTTTCTGTGCCTTTTTTCTTTTAAAATGTTTACTTTTTTGTTTTTTGAACAAATTTGGGTACTTTTTCTTTTAAAAATTAAAGCTTGTATTTTATTGTTTCTTTTACTTGTTTAAAGTATACCTTTTCAGACTTAAAAACAATTAAACCTGGGAAAATTTCAGATGACCCTGAATTTTGCTGGGTTTTTGCAGAAAAATACTAGAAGCCTTATCTTTACTCCTTCATGAGATGCTTGAGATAAAAACTAAATAATCACATCTGGCTTTGTTTAATTTTCTTGGTAAATCAGTTTTATTGACAAATAAAGCCTAGTGCAATCACGACTTTATCCTGAACAAACCAAACGTAGTCCAAATTCTGACGGCACCAACCTCCACAGTTTAAAATATGCTGCATGAGGCTGGGCGCGGTGGCTCACGCCTGTAATCCCAGCACTTTGGGAGGCCGAGGCAAGCGGATCACAAGGTCAAGAGATCGAGACCATCCTGGCCAACATGGTAAAACCCTATCTCTACTAAAAATACAAAAAATTTGCCAGGCTGGAGACATGTGACAGTAGTCTCAGCTACTTGGGAGGCTGAGGTGGGAGGATCAGCTGAGTCTGGGGCGGTGGAGGATGCGGTGAGCTGAAATGGCACCACTACACTTCAGCCTGGGTGACAGAAAGAGACCTTGTCTCAAAAAAATTAATTAATATATGTTGTATGATAGTTTTACATTACATTAATTCTAAATTACTTAGAACCTGGCCAGCTTAGTGCAAATACGAAACAAGGCACCTTAGCTGTGGCTAGCAATGGAATCACATATACTGTGGGTCAGACATTTTTGATACCAAGGATACAGTGAGCTTGGGGGCCCCTTAGCTCTCTGGTTGTTGCAGTTACGTGAATTAAAGTCTCAAACCTAAGAGCTCCAGGGTTTTGATTATGTATCCCTCTCATTTAAAAAATGTTGCCGAGCACAGTAGCTCACGCCTGTAATCATAGCACTTTGGGAGGCTGAGGCAGGAGGATCACTTGAGCCCAGGAGTTTGAGATTACGCTGAGCAACAGAGGGAGACCCTCATCTCAACAAAAAATTGAAAAGCTAGCCAGGTGCAGTGGTGCATGCCTATAGTCCCAGCATCTCAGGAGGCTGAGGTGGGAGATGCTTGAACCTAGGAGTTCAAGGTTGCAGTGAACCATGATCATACCACTGCACTCCAGCCTGGGCGACAGCGTGAGACTCTGTCTCAAAAAAATAAAACATTTAAAATGTGTGCCTGCCCTTAATATATATTCACTTATGAATTACATGTTACATCGAGCCATTCGAAATTGCTGATGTTTTATTGTTTTTAACCTGCAAAAAGGCAATTTCTTACCGTTCAACCAAGCATATGAAAGATATGTGATCTGTGCATATTTTATACAAATAAATGAATCACATGTCTTAAAGGATCATCCAGATTGGGCATGGTGGCTTACCTGTAATCCCAGCACTTTGGGAGGCCGAGGCAGGAGGATCACTTGTGACCAGCCTGCACAATATATCAAGAGCATGTCTCTACCAAAACAACAGCAAAGAAGCAATGTAATTACTTTTTTAAACTTGTACTTTAAGTTCAGAGGTATATATGCAGGTTTGTTATATACGTACACTCATGTCACGGGGTCTTTTTTTTTTTTTTTTTTTTTTTTTTGAGATGGAGTTTCACTCTTGTTGCCCAGGCTGGAGTGCAATGACTTGGCTCACCACAACCTCTGCCTCCTGGGTTCAAGTGATTCTCCAGCCTCAACCTCCCGAGTAGTTGGGTGTGCACCACCACACCCGGCTAAGATTGTGTTTTTAATAGAGACGAGGTTTCTCCTTGCTGGTCAGGCTGGTCTCAAACTCCCGATCTCAGGTGATTTGCCTGCCTCAGCCTCCCAAAGTGCTGGGATTACAAGCGTGAGCCACCATGCCTGGCCGTTATGGGGTCTTTTTATACAGATTATTTCATCACCCAGGTGTTAAGCCTAGAACCCATTTGTTATTTTTCCTGATCCTCTCCTTCCTCCCACCTGCCCCCTCTCATGGGTCCCAGTGTGTGTTGTTGTCGTCTATGTGTCCATGTGTTCTCATCATTTAGCTCCCACTTGTAAGTGAGAATGTGTAGTGTTTGGTCTTCTGTTCCTGTGTTAGTTTGCTAAGGATAATGGTCTCCAGCTCCTTCCACGTTTCTGCAAAGGACATGATCTTGTTCCTGTTTATGACTGCATAATACTCCATGGTGTATATGTGCCACATTTTATTTATCCCTTCCACCACTGATGGGCATTTAGGTTGATTCCATGTCTTTGCTATTGTGAACAGTGTTGCAATGAAAAATTAAAAGAAAGACACTTGTATGTCTTTTTTATAATTTTAATTTTAGGTTTGGGGTACGTGTGAAGTTTTGTTATGTAGGCAAACTGGTGTCACAGGTGTTTGTTGTACAGATTATTTCAGCACCCAGGTATTAAGCCTAGTGCTCAGTAGTTATTTTTTCTGCTCTTCTCCCCCCTCCTTCCATCCTCAAGTAGGCCCCAGCTGTACGTGAGTTCTCACCATTTAGCTCCCACTTATAAGTGAGGATTTTCTATTCCTGTGTCAGTTTGCTAAGGATAATGGCCTCCAGCTCCATCCACGTTCCTGCAAAAGACATGATCTTGCTCTTTTTTATGGCTGCGTAATATTCCATGGCATACATGTACCACATTTTCTTTGGCTGGGCACAGTGGCTCATGCCTGTAATCCCAGCCCTTTGGGAGGCTGAGGCAGGTGGATCACGAGATCAGGAGTTCAAGACAAGCCTGGCCAACATGGTGAAACTCCATCTCTACTAAAAATACAAAAATTAGCTGGGCACGGTGGCAGGCACCTGTAATCCCGCTACTCAGGAGGTTGAGGCAGAAGAATTGCTTGAACCCGAGGGGTGGAGGTTGCAGTGAGCCAAGATCGCACCAGTACACTCCAGCCTGGACAACAGAGTGAGACTCCATCTCAAAAAAAAAAAAAAATCTTGTTCTTTTTTATGGCTGCATAATATTCCACAGTATACATGTACCACATTTTCTTTATCCAATCTGTCATTGATGGGCATTTAGGTTGATTCCAGTGCATGTGTCTTTATGGTAGAATCGTTTCTATTCCTTTGGGTATACACCCCGTAATGGGGTTGCTGGGTCGAACGGTAGCTCTGTTTTG